TTGCGCCGTTTGCGCCGTTTGCGTGATTTGCGCCGTTTGCGCCGTTTGCGGGGTTTGCGCCGTTTGCGCGGTTTGCGCCGTTTGCGCCGTTTGCGTGGTTTGCGCCGTTTGCGCTGTTTGCGCCGTTTGCGTGGTTTGCGCGGTTGGCGCCGTTTGCGCCGTTTGCGCGGTTTGCGCCGTTTGCACGGTTTGCGCAGTGTGAGCCGTTGAGGGGTGAGGTTTGCGCGGGTTTGCGACGGTTGCGCGGTTGCGTTTGCGCCGTTTGTGCGTCGTTGAGCCCGTTCGGCGCGGTTCTGAGAGGTTATTGGAGCGGTTTGCGGGGTTTGCGTCGTTTGCGGGGTAGAGGGTTGCGCGGTTGCAGCGGTTTGCGCAGTTTGAGCGGTTGCGAGTTCGCGCCGTTTGTAGAGTTGATCGAGTGTTTGGCGGTTTGCGCCGTTTGGCGAAGTTGGCGAAGTTGGCCGCCGTTTGCGGGTCTTGCGACGGTATTTGCGACGTTTGCGCCGGTTTGCGTGGTGTGGGCATGACGCAGTTTTGCGCGTTTGCGGGGTTTTGCGCAGGTTTGGAGGAGGTTGCGTGGGTGTGCGCGCGTTGAGAAGTCTTGCGCGTCTTGCGCGAGTTTTTGCTGCGCCAGTTTGCCGCCATGTTTGGCGTTGATGTGCGTTTGCAGACGTTGAAGAAGTTTGTAGGGGTTTGAGCCGTTTGCGTGGTTTGCGCGGTTTGCGCGGTTTGCGCGGTCTGCGCCGTTTGCGCCGTTTGCGGGGTTTGCGCCGTTTGCGTGGTTTGCGCCGTTTGCGCGGTTTGCGCGGTTTGCGCCGTTTGCGCCGTTTGCGGGGTTTGCGCCGTTTGCGGGGTTTGCGCCGTTTGCGCGGTTTGCGCTGTTTGCGCGGTTTGCGCGGTTTGCGCCGTTTGCGCGGTTTGCGCGGTTTGCGCGGCTTGCGCCTTTTGCGCCTTTTGCGCCGTTTGCGCGGTTTGCGCGGTTTGCGCGGTTTGCGCCGTTTGCGCCGTTTGCGCCGTTTGCGTGGTTTGCGGCGTTTGCGTGGTTTGCGCGGTTTGCGTGGTTTGCGCCGTTTGCGGGGTTTGCGTGGTTTGCGCCGTTTGCGGGGTTTGCGCCGTTTGCGTGGTTTGCGCGGTTTGCGCCGTTTGCGCGGTTTGCGCCGTTTGCGTGGTTTGCGGCATTTGCGTGGTTTGCGCCGTTTGCGCCGTTTGCGTGGTTTGCGCGGTTTGCGCCGTTTGCGCCGTTTGCGGGG